ATTACGGACGAATAAAATAGCTGATTACATTTTACACCTTGCCCACGTCTACGAATTTACGTTTTTTATTTATTTGAATTACATTATTACGAAAATAAAAACAATTGATTACAGCTCACGAAAAGACCCTCCATATACTTCAGTACTCCCTCAGCCAGCTTGCGCACACGTGATAATAAAATGAATGCGATTAATTTACCGATATTTACTGTATGGAGATAGCCTTCTCGAATACTGCTTGAAAATAAATAAAAAGTCTCTCTCTTTAGTGAAGAGTGGTACATGAACACAACCATCTTAAAAATTAAAGCGGGAGAGTCGTCACCTGCGCACGCACGAGAATTGAGTCCCAAGCGATGATAACAAAACACGCTAAGAACGCAAAGGCTCCCGGGTAGACGCTTGTTTGTAAACAATGACAAGCTATGGCCAACTGACGCATGCGTAGGTGACGACTCCCCCGGCTTTAAACAACAAAGCAATTTATTAACAAGGTTGCATTATAACATAAACCCTGAAAATTGTTAGGGTCTATGATTATAACCACTATCCCACTCATTTCCCTATCCAGTGTTTTCTACACATTGATTCATAATATGTTGTGTCAAAGATTCGGAACATTGGTGTAGTGACTTTTGAAACGGTTTGTTCAGCTTCATAGATGTGAAGTAATAACTCGACCATCATTGAACTGCGAATACGGTGGCGGAAATGACGTGTATGCTGTCACGAATATACAATGAAATTTAATGTATTCTTAGCAATAATGGATTTTAGCATAGACTAACAGAGGGTCTATGATTTTACTCGTAATTAAGGTTAAGCAAGTACATTTTATTATATTAATACATTTGCTCGGAGACTAGAAATTGCTTATTATAGTAAGTCCAGTGAAATACAGCGTATCTAAAACAAATGTGAACAATGTAAAATACATGCCACAAAATTGTTACACAGATTATGAAATATTGCTCGTAAACAAACTCAAATCATTCTCTGAGGTAATGAAAATGGTAACATTGCAACAACAATGGGGACAAAAATATTCTCAATACAAACACAGTTTTTCATAATAAAAACTAATTTCTAACCCGGATTTCTGATCATCAATTAACTAAAATATATATCCTAATTATCGTTGAAAGATTCTGATCTACTCCCATTGTGCAGTAACAGTGAAATACAGATGAGTTTCGTCTTCAACCTCTCGCTTCGCCTACCGCCAAACCAAAAAAGCTACACATGGCTAGCTCGCCCTAATCTTTCTATAAACTTCTCCGTTTGTTCTCCTCAAGAACAAAACATTACGCCGCTTTACATATTTCAGAACTTTCGGTGTAATTATCTATAATTATAATACTTTTTAGCTTGTCGACGTTGTTCTCATAGTCAGCTAACCTTAATAGCGTATGGTTTTCTGTTCAGCATTTACTAGGAAAGTACTCTTTGTTGCAAACCAAACAGTATCCGTTTACTAGTTTCTTTTGTTCTCAACAATTCCTGTCTATGAGGAAAGTACTCTTTCTTTGTTCTAAAGAGTACCTGTTTTCTAGTTCCCTTGTTCTCAGCAATATCCATTTACTAGGAG